GGGCAGGGACAGGGGGCCAGTGGCCACATCTTTTGTTGTTTGCAGAGACTGACGCACCGGACTGGATCGGACAAAAGCAGGACGCTCTGCTGTAGCAAGCACAAGGCTCTTTGTTGCCATGGCTGTGGAAAAAAATAGAAACAAAAAGGATAAATGTTGCGTCCAAATATGCTAATAATTAACACTTAGCACCATGGATATAAAAAGCACTTAATACTAAATTACTATGATCATAATAGCTGTTCTTTATTCAGCCCTGTTCCATATGGCATCATGGCTTGGTAGTTAAGTACGCCTGAGCTGGAACCTGACTGTCTGGGTCCAAATCCTAGATCTGCTATTTACCAGCTGTGTAACTTTGGGCAGGTTATTCAAACTCCTCAAGTCTCAGTTTTGTATCTATAAAACATAGACAATGAAAGTATTCAACTCATAGGGCTATATGAGCCCATGCTATGCTGATAAAGCACTTAAACATGGCATGCCACATAATAAGCACTAAATAAATATCATATTTTTATATACCAGATTTAGGGCTTTATATATGTTGGTTAACAAATTTAGACCTCAAAACAAACTTGTGACATAGACATTATCATAATTCCTACTTATCAATTGAGGAAATCAAGAGTCAGAGAGGTCAAGTAACTTTCCCAAGGTCACCCAGCAAGAAAGTAGCAGAAACCAATTCTGTTTGACGCTAAAGTCATGTGCTTTCCACTGCACCAAGTCACTGTCTTCCATGAGCTACTGGCAAGAGGTCCCACATCAGTGTGATGCTATATTGTTGGTGACTATTTCACAAAATCCTCCTCCCTTTAGTCAAGTTGGAATATACAAGGTATTTTTAGAATGAACAGAAGAGTCTGGTGTACAAAGCAGTTTTATTGATGGTTCCCCTCCTCCCCAGCCCTCCTCTGTGCCCAGTGTGTGAGGCCCAGTTCTCTGGTAGAAATTGGAAGTCCAGCTGGGGAAGAGCCGAGAGCTCTGGGGTGGACTTTCTTCAGTTCCAGCTCTCGGATGACTTGACTGGCAGAGTGGAGCCAGGGGCAGAACCTGGCCACAGGGCGCCAAGCCATATCAGGTCCAGGGACTGGACAGGTCTGCGGACTGCTCTAGCACCCTGAAAGTCTGTGGACATCACCAAGGAAATAAAGTGAAACGGCATAACCCAAATCACTTTCTTGCCAGAGAACTTTACATTCTTAAAGGAATCCAAAGTCTTATTACACCTCCTGTAGAGTAGACTTCTGGCATCCAGACCAGTGAGTGCCCATTAAGGCTCTGACCATTGCCCAGTCCAGTCAGGCCTCTGCCCATACCTCTACACAACCAAAGTCAGTCCTCTGCTCATAATTCTACACAACCAACTCTTGTTGAGTATTCAGAAGCAGCTCAATTGCTAAAGAACCACCTAGGCAAAAATAAAACTCAGCCTTACAATATCTCTGGGAAAGAGAAGCAGCTGCTATATCATTAATTGCAACCATTCACAGAGCCCAAACTTTGGGCAAGCCACAGTGCTTAGCATGACCCTTGTCACAAATTCCACCTATCCTCCTAACCCTCACTTGTCCCTCTAGTTCGTGGCTAGCTCCTGATGGCTCCTCCCCTGTGCCTCTCCCATGTCCAGATGTCCATTTGCAATCAAATAAGAACTGGCTGGTTTCATCCTGGGCTCTAGAAAATACAACCCTGGCTCCTCAGTGAGGACACAGCTTGGTGTCAGGACAGCAGCCTATGGTGGGGCCTCCCTGGAGATCCCCAGGCTATGTCCATACCTAGTTTAAGATGGCAGAGCCCACTTATCTGTGGACAGGTGAACTGTCTATGCTATGTGGACCTCCCACACGCCCTGATCACAGGGCTCTTCCTCAATCCCTTCTACCTACACCTGCCTCATGCCTCCTACATACACACTCAGGACTCCCAAATGAAGATGGAGTAGGAGGGAAATGGTCGGGCTGTAGATTCCGTGAAAACAGCAGGAGCTCTGTAGTCAGATAGGCATAGGTTTGAATTTCACCATTTTACTTAATAGCTGTGTGACTTAGACTGGTCATTTAACCTCTCTGAGTCTTATTTTCTCATCTCCATAAAGGGGAATGATCTTCTGTACTCTTGGGGTTTCTATGAGGATTAGAAACAATGTATGTGTGTTATGCCCAGTGGCACTCAACCAATGCCACACATAGGTGGGTCTCTTTATACTCATTAAAATATGTATACTTTCTGATCCCAGGGTCCTGGGATCGAGCCCCACATCAGGCTCCCTGCTTTTCCCTCTCCCCCTGCCCCTGATCCTGCTCTCTCCCTCTCTCTGTAATGCTTGAGCTTTCTCCCTCTAATAAATAAGTAAAATCTTTAAAAAATAAAAATAAAATAAAATAATAATAATAAAATAAATAAATATATATATATATATACTTTCTGTCCCTAAATTCTTACAACTACCAGGCTGCAAGGTCAGCCCACCAGTGGTGTTGCTGTGATCAGCCTGGCTGGTTTATAGCTAAGCTCTCCTGCTACGCCTAGACCTTAGTCTCATGCAGACATGAAGTTTTGGCCCCTCTGCCCATGGTTTGCCTGGGATTGTCCCAGTATAAGGACTGAAATTTCCACATCTTGGGAGCACTGGGAATTCAGTCTTGGGAAAACTGAGATGGTTGGTCACCCTATCAAGGCAGCTGACCCAGAGCGGGCGGAGTAGTTGTCAGACCTGAGAGAAGAAACTGGGCTTCCCATAACCTCTCCCAGTTGGATGGATGGGCCAGGTAGGCGCCTACTCAGTCCCTCCTTCCAAGTTCCCAGCCAAGTCCCTGTTAAGCAGAGGTCGTGGGTGACACCTAGAGGTTATGTTAAAAACTGCAGTCTGATAATCACCCACCAGCCCCTTGAGCCTTTGTTCATTAATAAATATTGAGGCACTGGACATAAGTCTTGGGGGTCTTGGAAGACATCCTCAAACAAGTTAAGCTGAGACCTACTGATTGACAAAGTGTTAGCCAGGTCAAGGCAAGTGGGAAAGAAATTATTCTAGGCAGGAGGGAACAGCAAAGACCAAAGTTCTGAGTTGGAAGAAGCAGGAAACTGTCAAGAAACTACAGTATGGGGTCGGGCCGGGCGGGGGGGGGGGGGGGGGGGAGGGCCTCGGTGACAACAAAGTTGGAAAGGTTGTCAGCGGCTGATCAGCTAGGGGAAATTTTTTTGTCTTTAAGTGCAAGCAGAATTTAGTGAAGGTTTTAAGCAGGACAGTAACATAATCAGATCTACATTTTTCAAAGGTAACTCTGGCTACAAGGAGGAGACTGGTTAGAACAGTAGTAAACCTAAAGCCAGGCAGGCAACTGTAGTGCCCAGGTGATGCAGAGACTGAAGCCCCGCACTTGGCTGGTACAGAGGGATGAAGAGGAAGGTGATGGTTTGAGAGATGTTATGGAAATAGAATGGGCAGGGACACGGTGACTGACGAGGTGAGGGATGAGAAACAGCAAGGTTCAAAAATGATGTAGGTTTCCAAATAGGACCACGGGAGACCAGTGGGGCAGGTGCTGAGATGGGAGCATGAGAAGAACGGGGACAATGTTGGGCATGTTGAATCTGAGGTGACAGTGGGACATCCAAATGAAGACAGTAAATAAGCAGTTGAATAAAGATTAGGAAGGGGGACATAAATGTGGGGATGATCTAGCAAGGAGATGGTAACTGAAGCCCTTAGCAGCACCAACATTTTAAATTGGCAGAGGGGCGCCTGGGTGGCTCAGTTGGTTAAGCGACTGCCTTCGGCTCAGGTCATGATCCCAGAGTCCTGGGATCGAGTCCCACATCGGGCTCCCTGCTCTGCGGGAAGCCTGCTTCTCCCTCTCCCACTCCCCCTGCTTGTGTTCCTGCTCTTGCTATGTCTCTCTCTGTCAAAAAAATAAATAAAATCTTTAAAAAAAAAAAAAAGTATTTATTGCCTGGGTGGCTCAGTCGGTTGAGCGTCTGCCTTCGGCTCAGGTCGTGGTCCCAGGGTCCTGGAATCGAGCCCCGCGTCGGGCTCCCTGCTCCGCGGGAAGCCTGCTTCTCCCTCTCCCTCTCCCCCTGCTTGTGTTCCCTCTCTCGCTGTCTCTCTCTCTCTGTCAATGAAATAAATAAATAAAATCTTAAAAAAAAATAAAAATAAAAACAGGCAGAGGCAGGAGCGAGAACGTGCCAAAGGAAAACCAAGTGAGTATGATGTTATAAAAGGGGGGCAAGAGTGTTTCAGAAAGTAGACAGTGGTCAACAGCATCAAATATTTCTGGGAGGCAGTGAAATGAGATCTGAAAATTGTCCATTGAACAACGTGTTGGACAGAAAGACAAATACTGCATGATTTCACTCATGCGTAGTCAAAAGTAGACTCGTGGTTCCAGGGGTAGGGGGGAAGGGAGAGTGGGGAGTTCTTTAGTGGGCAGAGTTTCAGCTGGGGACTAGGGAAAGAGTTCCCTAGATAGATGATGGAGGTACTTAACACCACTGAACTGTACACTTAGAAACGGCTAACAAGGTAAATATTCCTGTTATGTGTATTTTACCGCACCTGCATACACACACAAAAGTCACCTTCTCTGTGAGGTCTTCCAGGCCACCCTTTGTAAAATGTCAAGCCCTCCACGGACTAGGAGAGAAACGGAATCAGGTGGAGGCCGGGCAGGCGCAGGGCGAGAAAGGCGGGAGCGTCCAGAGCCGCCTCCACGAGAAGGGGAGAGGGAAGGAGCGCGGGAGGGGCGGGTTAAGCTGGGGCCAAGGGTGACACCTAGAGGTCATGTTTAAAAAAAAAAACAAAAAACAGCCGCTGATAATCACGCACCTGGCCCAGGAGGGGAGGGGAGGGGAGGGGAGGGGAGGGGAGGGGAGGGGAGGGGAGGGGAGGGGAGGGGAGGGGAGGGGAGGGGAGGGGAGGGGAGGGGAGGGGAGGGGAGGGGAGGGGCCTGAGAGGCGCGAGTTCCGGGAGAGGAACGCCATTTCGGGCCGGGCGAGGAGAGGCGGAATAGGGGTTGGGCTCAGGGTTTTGGAGAAGAGGAGTGCACGTCCGCCAGCCCCCGGGCTTAGGCTGAGAGCTACAGAAGGGACGTGGTTCCATAGGTTCAGGACCTGCACAGGACCTCCACAGCCCCCGCCTGCACCTCCGCTGACCTGGCCGCTGTGGAAGGCAGATGTGGCAGGAGGCCTCCTGCAGCGCCATCGCCTCAGCCCTCGGACCTGCGTGCCCTCCGTCGTCCACCCTCAGCATCCCTAGCCCCAGCAAGAAGGCAGTTGCGGCCAGGCACGGAGGACGCCATCTTGCGAAAGTTCCCCCAGGGGTCCCGACCGTAAGGAGCCAGGGGCCCTACATTGGTCACAGCCCAGATGCCAGTAGGGCAGCAGGAATTGGGAGTCTGGCTTGGAGGGAGACCAACATCAATGACCACCTCTACCCCCACCCCCCTAGCTGGCCTCTAAAGAGTCCAGCCTGCGCTCTGGGTCAAGGTCAAGCACAGTGCCCTTGCAGGACAATATGCCCTAACCATGATCTCCCTTTCTTGAAGTCAGCCCCTACTTGGCCTTTAGAAATCTACCCTCTCCCTCAGGAGCAGGTGGGAAGTGATGGGTCAGGGGGCCGGTTTCTGTTTCCTCTGTCCATAGATAGGGCCCTTGAGTGGAAACCCCTTTGGCTGGACCAAAGGCCTGGAGGCACTAGAGCTGCTCACCTGGGGCCCTGACCATGATAGTGGGGACAGAAGATAACCTATGCTGCCTCAGCCCTCACAGAGCCCTGTTCCCAGGGGCCCTTCCCCCAGAATCCACACCAAAGCCAGGGCCTTCCTAGAGCCTTCCCAGTGCTCAAGCCTCCTAGGAGGAGGAGTCCTAATGTAGTTGTTATTCTGAGTCCTGCAGCCCCTCTCCTTGTGACATACGAACCCACTTTGTATGCCCTGAGCCCACATAGCTGGGCCCCTAGTTCACAGGCTAAATCCTGGACCCCTGGCCAGGCTGAAGCATATACCCATCTTATTTAATCACAACAACCCTATGAACTAGGTACTATTATTATTCCCATTTTTTACAGAGGAGAAAACAGGCTCAGAGAAGGTAAGCAACTTGCCCCGAATCATACAGCTTACTAAATATTGGAGGTAGTTTTCAAACCCTGGTCTATCTGGCTTTTGGAACCCATGTTCTCCAATTTATTAGTCTGCAGAGTAGCACCAAGTGCCTTTTACCACCGCTGATCAGTTTCTGGGTACTGCCTTCCTGGCTGCAAGACTGAACACGCAGCCAGACCTCTTTTTCACAGCCCTGTCCCTACATCACATCCTTCCTCTTGGCAGTGAACTTGCCAATGATGTAATACTGAATGGTATTATATCAGATTCCCTGACAAAGGAATCTCCTTTGCAATGCCTGGAACCATAGCATCCATCTCAAATGTCTCCAACCTTATGCTCTATTGCTCCTGAGGGTTTGGCTCACATTCCTCACTGGGCTTTTTGCTTATGCCATTTACCCTTCTTGAAGTGCCCTTCCCAAAGCCTCCAAGAGCCACCCGCTGAAGTCACAGAAGACTTTTACTTTCCTCAATCCAGTGATCTCACTGGAAAGCTCCTCTGGCCCAATACTCACCCAGGAAGCTTCAAGGAGGGCTTGAGTTCTAGTCCTATAGGGTCAGGAAGGGGGGAAAGGACACGAATGCAGCTGCTTCTTTCCAGTCCCGAGCCACCAGTTTTTTCTCCAAATCTTGCTTGGGACAAGGGGGCAAAAGACTGTTGAGAGAGAAGTGGGGTTGAAGAAAGAGATAGGTGCACTTGAGAGACTGGCAGAGAGAAAGGAGAGAGGTTTATAGGAGCCGTGCAAATAACCTATCTTCCTACAACATCAGTTTCTCTGGACCAATTTGGGGAGGAAAGAAAATCTGTAACTTAAAACATTTTAATATTTTTTAAAGTTTTAAAGGAACATTACGAGTCAAAGGCAAAATTCTCTAGAATTTTTAAGCTAGAACATGACATTGGTAAGAAATTCCGTGCTTGGGGCGGGGCCGGGGGTAGGGGGTTAGGAATCCTGGCTCCTCCCCCAGTTCAGTTTAGGGGACGAGAGAAAGCCTGGCACCGAGTGAAGGCCGCTACTGTGATCTCCGTGGGCGGTGGGTGTGTGGCGGGGGAGGCATGGCCCATCCAGAGGCTCTGGGAAAGGGCAGTCCTGCGTCCCCGCCGTACCCTTGGCGACAGCGGCTGGGTGGGAGGGGGAGAGTGTGAGCCGCGGTCACTGGCGCCGCCCCCTCCCTCCGGCTCCACCCTAGCTCTGGCTCCACGTGGTTTTCACCACCCGCAGCGCAGACCGGGGTGGGGGAGGGGCCTCGCCACGCACCTCCGGGCTGGAGAGGGTGTGGCCGGGAGAACCGCGAGCCCCACGGGGGTCGGTCCGTGACTTCTTCTCGGAAAAGAGCGAGGAACGCGCTCTGTGGGCAACGGACTCCACAGGCTTCCGACGACAAACCTGGGACGGAGAGTCCGGGAGTCCTGAAAAGACAGGTGAGCGGCGCTAGGGGAAGGACAAGCCAGGGTCCCCATCCGGACCGCCATGGCCGTGCACGCCCGTCGTCTGTGCCACATTGCCTTCCACGTGCCCGCGGGGCAGCCCCTCACCCAGGATCTGCAGCGTGTCTTCGGATTCCAGCCCTTGGCGGTGCGGGAAGCAGAAGGCTGGCGGCAGTTGGCCCTGCGCAGCGGCGACGCGGTCTTTTTGGTGAACGAGGGCGCAGGGCCGCGGGAGCCGCTGTACGGCCTGGACCCACGTCATGCTGTGCCCAGCGCCACGAACCTGTGCTTCGACGTGGCGGACGCGGGCGCCGCCGCCCGGGCGTTGGTTGCGCGGGGCTGCAGCGTGCCGGTGCCCCCGGTTAGCGTGAAGGATACGCACGGCACAGCCACCTACGCTGTGGTCAGCTCGCCCGCCGGCAACCTCAGCCTGACACTCCTGGAGCGTGCCGGCTTCCGAGGGCCTTTCCTCCCGGGATTCCAGCCTGTGGCCTCTGCAGCCAGCCCGGGCTGGGTCAGCCACGTGGACCACCTGACCCTGGCCTGCACCCCTGGCAGCTCCCCCACACTGATGCGCTGGTTCCACGACTGTCTAGACTTTCGCCACCTGCCACTGAGTCCAGGTGAGGATCCGGAGATAGGCCTCGAGGTGACAGCAGGATCTGGGCGAGGGGGACTGAAGCTCACCGCCCTGCAGACCCCCCCAGGCAGTGCCGTCCCCACCCTCGTGCTGGCTGAGACCCTGCCAGGGGCTTCTCGTGGACAGGACCAGGTGGAGCAGTTCCTGGCCCGGCACAGGGGACCAGGACTGCAGCACGTGGGGCTCTACACGCCGAACATCGTAGAAGCCAGTGAGGGGGTAGCAGTGGCTGGGGGCCGGCTCCTGGCTCCTCCTGAGGCATACTACCAGCAGCCGGGCAAGGAGAGGCAGATCCTAGCTGCTGGGCATCAGCCTAGCCTGCTGGCCCGACAGGGGATCCTGCTGGACGGTGATGAAGGCAAGTTTCTGCTTCAGGTCTTCACCAAGTCTCTCTTTCCAGAGGACACCTTCTTCCTGGAGCTGATTCAGAGGCAGGGGGCCACAGGCTTTGGCTGGGGCAACATCCGGGCCCTATGGCAGTCGGTGCAGGAGCAAGCCGCCAGGGACCGGGAAGCCTGAGGAAGGCTGGGGCTGGGGAGCACCGGGCCAGCTGGAACTGAGAAACACCTGCAGAGGCTTGGGGTGCTTTTGTCCCCAGGGGCACCATCTCTTCGGTGCCTACCAGAACTTGAAGCTCTCACTGGGACCCAAAGAGGTGGGATTTTGTTTTGAACTATGAACTGTTCTTATGTCTTCTATAACTAATATATATGCAAGATACAAAGAAAAAGGAATTACATAATTAGGAAATAGAACTTCCCAATACTTTTGAACCATCTTTGTGACCTTCTCTGATCCCATTTCTCTCCACCCTATCCAATTTTATTGTTAACCCCTTGATTTGCTGTATTGTTTCACTACGTATGAAACAATAGAGAAATAAATTTAGTATTTGAGGTAGGAATTCTAAGAACAAATCCTCCCATTTCCCCTCTCCCTAGGGAACAGCCACTGCAGGTGGGGAGGGGTTGGGTCAGGGCTGAGCCCAGCCACCTGCTCTAGGACAATACCACTGCTCTATAGTCAGAGCCAACCAGAGATCTGGACCAAGGGTGTTGGGTGTCAGCCACAGGCAGGGGCCCTCTGCAGCTGCTTTCTCCCTCTCTCCTCGGGGTTGTGGGAGGACAGATCACTCTGGAGAGAACACCCACCGCCATTTGCCCGGGGCTGGATGGGAGCTCAGGCAGTGGAAGTCAGCACCAAACAGGACTTTACCACTTTCTGGGTCCCTCCGAGAGGAAGAACGAGTGGGCGAGGAAGGGGGTGGAAAGTCTCCAAAATGACTATAAAAATAAGCACTTTATTAAAAAACTGGATTCTCAGGAAGTGGGGGCTTCCAGAGGTGTCACTGGGCAGTACTCTTGAGGCTGGATGCATCCGGAGGCCGAAAGAAACTATCCAGGAGTTGCTGGCCCGGGCTGGGCTTTTTCCGGCTGGATGGAGTGGACACCGGGCATCTTTTGGGACCCTGTGCAGAAGCCAAAGAAAGGAGGCACTAAGGGGGCAGCAGAGTCCTCTCCTTCCGCCCCCTCTCCACTCCACTAATACAGCTCAGGTTCTAGTCTGAATGTTGTAAAGCTTCCAACCCGTCTCCAGTATCTACGTCTTCGGTCAACATGGCAGCCCAAGGTAGTCTTCCTAAGATACAAATCAGGCTCCTGTCTCCACCCAAAATGCTTTAGCGGCCTGGTGTTCATGGCCCTGACTGGCCTGCGCGGGCCCTGCTGATCAAACGCGCCTAGCTCCTCGCACGCTGCATTATGAAGTTGGCCACATTATGCCAGCATTGCCCACAGGACTCTTGGGCCCAGGGAAGAACATTCCTACTGCGGACTCCCCTCCCAAACCTGGAGGTAATGGTTCGGTTCTTCCACACAGATTACCAGCTGCTGCTTCTAAGCGGCCCTTCCTGATCCTTGCCTCCCAGACAGAACTGGAAGCTCTCCACCTCATAAGCCACAAAACCGAGTATAAGCATTTTGCACACCTGGGGCCCTACTGTCTCCACCATTTGTTCTTATTCCCTCACCACCCTGGCCTCCAAGCTATAAGGTGTCCAGGGAAGAACTATTATTCCTCTCCCCATGGCCAAGTGTGGAGTGGATAATGTTCACCCAAGCATGTGTCATTTAACTCACTGAAAACCCGGGGATTTGGGCCTGAGGAAAGATGGCTGGGGGAGGGCCAAGAGACTCACCTTGCGGGTCCCTGGCTGTTGGCCCTCGTACACACGGAACACCTGGCCAAGGAAAAAAGGGGAGAGCGCAGGGCTGGCACCTTCCCCCAAAGAGCCAAACCCCTGTGGTCTCTCAACTTCATGCCCCCACACATCTGTTTAAAATACGCTTTTGTTGTGGGGCGCCTGGGTGGCTCAGTCGTCAAGTGTCAGCCCTTGGCTCAGGTCATGATGCCAGGGTCCTGGGATCGAGCCCCGCATCGGGCTCCCTGCTCCTCCCTCTCCCACTCCCCCTGCTTGTGTTCCCTCTCGCTGTGTCTCTGTCAAATGAATAAATAAAATCTTTAAAAAAAAAATACGCTTTTGTTTTCTCCTGGTAATAGGTTCACGTAGAACATACAGGAACCCCCAAAAAGTACAACAAAGACAACACAGGCAGTGCCTTTTTCATAGCAGTGGAGACAGCTGCAGTGTGAAACTCCTCGCGGGTCAGCCAGCGAGCGCCAGGCGGCGCGACGGTCACCGGGGTCTGCCCTTCCAGGGCCAGACCGTATACTTGATAGGTCAGCTTGATGTGAGAGAAAGTGTGGACCACCTGGAGGGAGGGCCAAGGGGCTGAAACAGGCCCAGGGATGTGCCCACAAAAGCCACACCCCTGCCCCGCCCGAGGCTCACACACCTGCCCGAGGTGCCGGAGGCGGGGCGCTGGGAGGGGCCCAGCCCAGCTCTGCAGCTCCCGCAGCAGGGCCTCCCGCTGCCGTGGCCCCGAGGGCTCTGCGGTCACAGCTGGGAACTGCCACAGTCCTGCCAGCAGCCCTGAGAGAGAGGACAGCCAGGTGTGGCCAGGCCTGAGCCGCCGACCTCTCCGCTTCCCCCTTGTTGCTCCTGCCACCGCCCTCCGCTCCGACGATCTAGGTACCTGAACTGGGCCTCTGCACCAGCAGGACCCGAGGACCCCCGAGGGCCCCGGGCTGCTCCAGAACACAGGTGGCAGAGCACTCCTCCCTGGGGGGCCTGCGGCCGGCCTTTCTGGGGAAGTTGGTCACTCCCCGGGTCGGGTCCCAGGGCTCCGTGGGAGGCGCGCACAGCCTGCAGGGCCCAGCGCGGGGAGCTGGGAAGAGAGATCCCGCAGCGCCGCTCAGGCCCAGGCAGCAGGCCGTGGCCCAGCTCTGCAGGGTCTTACTCAGCGTAGGATAAAGTACCGTGTGGCGCGCTGCGGGGCTGGGGCTGGGGCTGGCGCTCACCACACTCCTCCACGTCGGGGCTGCCCGGTGGGCCCCGCGAGCCCAAGAGCTGTTCCCGCTCCACCTGAGGCGCGAGGCAGACGTCAGGCGCCAGGGGTCACCGTGTAGGACCCCTGCCTGCCCCTCCCGCAGATGGCTCACCCTCTGCTGTGCCCGGCACAGGCTCTGCACAGGGCACCGGCTGCAGCGCGGGTGCTGCGGGGTGCACACTGTGGCCCCCAGCTCCATGGCCGCTTGGTTCCAGTCCCCGGGCCGCGCCGGGTCCACCAGCTGCTGGGCTAAGCTCCTACAAGGGAACGTGGCTATGAGCCAAAGACACTTTGGAGACCCCCTTGCCAGTCTCCCCAGGACCCCGAGACCCTACCAGAGAAGCTGGGAGACGAGGGCACTCCTGGGATCCGCACCAATGGCTCGGACTCGGCACAACACCCGCACTACATTCCCGTCTACCACACCGGTTGCCTGGCACAGAGGAATGCACGAGTCAGCCGGCTCCGGGAGGAAGGAGGGTGGGCACACACCGAGCGGGGGTGGGCTAAGGGCTCACCTGTCCGAAGGCAATGGAAGCAATGGCTCCAGCTGTGTACCGCCCCACGCCAGGCAGGAGCTGCTGCAGGGTCTCTGCTGTCCGTGGCATGTGGCCCCCTAGCTCCTCTACCACCTGATTGGGGTGGGGGGAGGGGTGAGGCTCTAGGTTATGAGACACCTGAGGCCCTGGGGCTCACCCCCTTACCTGTCACCCCCTGTAACCCCCTTACCTTCCGGGCTCCCTCCTGCAGCCGCCGGCCTCGAGAGTAGTAGCCCAGGCCCGCCCAGAGCTGGTTCACCTCCTGTGGGTGAGATCAGAGAGATCAGTGGTCAGTCCTCAGTTGTCCCCATTTCCCTCTACCCCTGGGCGACTCTTACCTCCAGGGAAGCACTGGCCAGGTCCTGTAGCGTTGGCCACTTCTATAGCTCGAAGGCAATCAAAAAGAAGTAAGATCAAGATCAAGGGAGGTGGAGGAAGCCTTCTTTACCCCACCCCAAAGGCTAAACTCTCTCTGGGGTCTGGCTCATGACCCTCCCCTTCCTTCCCTGAAGTCACCTGCATCCATCGGGTGTAATAGTCGATCACCGTGGCAACCTGGGTCTGCTGCAGCATGACCTCTGAGACCCACACTGGGGGAGAGGGGTTGGCATGAGGGCACTCCGAGCTGCCCTGCTCCCAGCACACAGCCCCTAGACCCCAGACCAGTGGGCGTCGAGGCAAAGCAGCCCTGCTCCCAAGACATGCACTCACCAGCGTATGCCCGCCTGTCCAGATCCACCTCACCCTCTGCCTGCCAAAGCAATCCCAGGTAAGGAGTCAGTATGGAGACAGCTGGGCACTGACCTCCCACCCACTGTCCCTGGCCCTCGCCTGCTTACCCGCCTTCTCCAGGGTAGGTCCCGCTTCTCTCGGTCGTACCAGCTCAGTAGGTTCTCCCGAAAGACTCTGACGTCAGCTGGGTCTCTGAAGAGATGGTACGGGGAGAGAGAGGCCTGCAACAACACCTCCTCCTGCCGCCCGGCCAAGCCTGAGGGGGCCGCAGGAAACTCAGGCTTCGTCCCTGCGCAGGCTATGCACCAGGTACCCGGGGCACTGCAGCCTGGCTGCTCCCCCTGAGGGCGCCCCCACCCCCAACCCCTGGTTTAAGCTTTGGACCTGGAGTCAGACCAGAATTCTCTAGCTCTGTGTAACCTGAGCCAGATTTCTGGCCTTAACTTGGCCGGGGTGGTACCGCTACCTCCTTTGACTCTGGGTCACAATGAAAACCCAACAGTTTCAGCCAAGCATAATGTATACGTATGCAGCGCTTTCCCATTTAGAAAACATTTTCAGGCTCATAGACTCATTCGATCCCATGAAAGCCACAGGAGGAAGGAAATGCACAGACAATCGCTCCATTTCATGGTAAGAAAGCAGCCACTCAGAGCAACTGTCCCAAAGTTACAGGGCAAAGTCAGAATGAGACCCTTAATTAGTCCCTTAAGGCCCTGACACATACCACATTCCCTTCCCAGCCCGAATCTCCCTCCCTTTCATGGCCACTGAATCCAACACCTTCATCTTTGACTAGGACCGCGCTCCTCACCATTGGGGGTAGAAGGCTTGACCTGGCGGCCGCTGAGGACACGCTTCTCCCTTCCCTCCTGGCAAGGTGCCCGCTTCCTCTGACAACTCCTCACAGCTGTTCGTGGCTTCTTCATGATGGCCTAGAAGAGAAAGGCCCAAAGTAGTCAGTCACCATGAGGCTGAATCTTGGGGCCCCACAACAGATATAGATAGCCACCTCCTTCTCTACAGTCCTCATTATAGAGAATCTAGCTTTCCTCACCCTCCAGATGCTCATGGGTTTGCCCCTGGCTGGCTGTGGCACTGAGGTATGACCAGTGGGGCTGAACTTCTGCAAGTGACTTCAGAGAGACCAACATTAGCATAATTTTGGAGACCCACAAAAGAAGAGGCCAGGGCTGAGCTGGATACACCTGTGTATCCTGGATGCTCACTGTCACTTTGTATGTGTGGACAGGGATTCATTACGTGTGTCTAGAAGCACAGGGCAGGTAGGAAGTTTATCTGGTAGAGATGCAGCACATGAAACAGCCTTGAGCCGTCATGGAGTCCAAACCTCCATCCTACAGAAAGGAGAAACCAAGGATCAGAGATGGGAAAAGATTTGCCTGAGAGCAGACGGCAAGCTGGAGTGGTGGTGGGAGCGGATGTGCTATTTTTATTCCTAATCTTTTCTTGATCTGGTAAACCAAAGCTGGCTGCCCATTGGTAATGCGAAATATATCTAGTTGATCTTCACTGCTCCCTACTGTTCTCTTGGTGCCCTTTTCTCAAACAACTAAAACGTTAGTGAGGGCTTATTATATGCCAGGCTCTGTACTAAGTGTTATACCAATTTCTAACTCAGTCTCCAGACAACTCCATTAGGTATCTGCTAGTATCACCTCCATTTTAGTTAGGAGGAAGTTGAGGCTTGCAGAGGTGAAGCAACTTGTCCACCCAAACCCAAAAGGCCTGCCTCCAGAGACTGCACTCTTGTGCTGTGCTACACCACAGTCCCTGCTGAGCCCCTGGTTCAACCCCTTTCCTTAAAACCTGATTTCATCACCTCATTTGCATCAAAAGAGCTTGTTTCCTCCTTCAGAGAAAAAAAGTGAATGCACAAGTTTACTGCACTCTGCACTTATCTGCATTCTCCTTCTCCTTCCCCTTGTGATATAGAACAATGGTCTCTCCCAAATTGGCTGAGCTCAAGTTCCTGCTCCTTAATCCCTTTTACACAACCCACTCTCCTTCCCTTCATAGCCAACCCTCTTTGACCAAACTCCCTAACTCCATAATTCACTCTACCATCTATTCTCCAAAGAGTAAAGCAGTCTTTTAAAACATGTTCATGTTATTTTCTTACTTAAAACCTTCAGTGGCTTCCTACTAATTCACTCACTAAATATTTATGTAGTGCCTATGTGCCAAGCAGTTTCAAGTACATGGAATACTTCAGTAAATAAAATACCAAAGGTTCCTGTCATCATGAAGCTTATATTCTAACGTGGGGGGGGGGCAAACAATAATAATTAAAGTATATAGAATGTTAAGTGATAAATAGTAACATAAAGAGAAAAAGTAGAGTTGGTGAAGGGGATAAGGAGTGGTGATGGTGGAATGTTGCGATTTTATTTTTTTTTAAAGATTTTATTTATTTATTTATTTGACAGAGAGAGAGAGAGAGAGCACAAGCAGGAGGAGCAGCAGCAGGAGAGGGAGAAGTAGGCTCCCCACTGAATAGAGAGCCCCTTGTGGGGCTTGATCCCAGGACCTTGGGATCATGATGTGAGCCGAAGGCAGACGCTTCACCAAATGAGCCACCTGGAATGTTGCAATTTTAAAGCACATGGTCAAGGTGGGCCTTATTAAAGTGATATTTGACCAATGATTTAAGGCAACTGAAGGAATTAGCCAAAGGCATCCTAAAAAGGAGCTAGTGCAATGGCCCTAAGAAAGGTGCCTGGTGTGTCTGCAGAATAATAAGGAAGCCAGTGTGGTTAGAATGCACCAAGAAAGGATGAGTAGTAGATGAGGTCAAAGAGGTAAAGAAGGTAGGGAGCATAAGGATCACTAAGTACCTTGTAAGCCACTGGAGGAATTTGGCTCTCACATCCATTGCTCTGAGAACCCAATCCTCTTAATATAGTTTTGTAGGCTCCAAAGATCCCCACCTGCCTCATCCCCTCACTCACTATGCTCCAGCCTGTTGGCCTTGACATCTCACCCAATCCTTTTCTTGTACAGCTGTACAGTTTGTACAGCTCTTATCCTGTGCTTCACCTAACAGTTATTCATTCTTTCAGGTCTTGACTTAAATGTCCAAATCAGCCCCCCTCCCCCAGTCTCACCCTCTTGTGTAATTCTCCATTTTCCTCTTATACTAATTGTAATTTCACATTTATTTGTTTCTTTGATCAGTGTCCACTTCCCCGACTTGACTACAGAACTCCATGAGCAAAGACTGAGTCTTTTTTGTTGACTCTTGAGTCCCCAGAGCTGAGCACAGTGCCAGATAAGTTGCATACAACAAGCACTGTTAAATTAATTAAAACCGGATGAGAGAAGAGATAGTAAGAGGTTTTCTTTCTTTAGAATGGGAGAAATCCAAACGATCCAGAATAATGATGAAAAAGACTCATTGGACAGAGAAAGGTTGAAGACGAACTAGAAACAGTGAATAATCAAGGAGAAGGGGTTGAGACTCCTTGGTGGGTCGAGAGGATGGGAACCGGAGTCCCTGAAAAAGAACTGGCCTCCGGTAAGGGCATGTCTCTCACGGTATCAGAAGTCAAGAGCAATCACCCTCGAGGTCAACCACCCCTCCTGCCTGGATTATTGTAAAGGCTTCCCCGCCAGTCGGTGACTCTAACCCCTCTGGCAGCCTCTCTCGAGTCCCTCTCCCCGCCTTTTCACTTCCTGGAAGTGAGGTCTCCATCCTGCCTGTGAATGTGCCTGTACCCAGAAGATCCTTCTTTCCCCTACACTGCCCTGTCTGTGCGTAACTCCTAGACGCGCTTCACGCTGGCCGGGGTGGCGTCACCTCCGCTGGGGACCCCCACCCCCACCCCCACCCCGGGGCCGCGTGGATGAAGACCGCGTGAAGCGGACGCCCACGTTCCCGCCCGCAGAACGCGGAGAAGGAATTACCTCCCGCTCGGTCTCCCGCGCCCGGCTCCCGACGCACTCCAGGGGGCGTGGCTCCGACCCGCACGGCGCCCGCCAATAGGTCCCCGCGCGCGCCCGGCCGCCTCCTCCGCGCTAGACCCGGGAGGTGTGAACGGAAGTCCGACCCGTCCGCGACTCGGCGACTCGGAGGACGAGGCCCCGCCCCGTCCCCGATCGCCGGAGCCGCGCGGAGAGAAGAAGCGGAAGCCCGGCGAACCCACCGACTACTCAGGCGAGGGGCCCGCCGTGTCATGGCCGCCGACAATGGCGATGGCGCAGCCTCAGCCCCAGCGGCCCCTGACGGTGAGTGGCTTCTCAGGGCTTCCCGCCTTAAAAGCCTGTGCGCTCCGCAGCGGGGGAAGGCCTCGGGCTCTCGGCTCTAGAAACTGATCTCAACGTTCAGAGGACTAGCTCATTCCTTCTGAACCAGCCACGAGGAGACTACAAATCCCGGTGGGCACCGCGGCTCGGGCGCAGAAGCCCGGCGTGTTGGGAGCAGTCCGGGCGGGTATAGGGGCGTGTCGGGAGGTGTAGTCTAGAGCTGGTGGTTCTTTTAAGTGGCGCGAGTCCGAAGAAGTGGAACGTGTTGGGAGCTTGGGTGTGAGGAATTATTTATGAGGCCCTGGGGCGTGCTGGTTAGCTCCTGGGGCCCCGTGGGAACAGTACTATGGAGCTTTGGGGGTATTAAAAGAGTCGCATTCCTCAAGCCCTGAGAAGGATTTCCTGCGGGATGTGGGAAGAAGGAACCTCACAGATCATCTAGTCCAGCCTTCCTCCTCTAAAGTTTGTGATGCTGAGGGGAGAAGTAATTTTCCCAAAGTCTCACATAAACTACTGGAAGACGCCAGCTTTCTCTTCCCAAATTCAGGGCACTGTTCACTCCAAGCACTGTGCGTAGAGCACGTGTGATACAAAGGCTTGCAGGAGAGACATGCTATTTCTTGCCTTAATGGAAACTGCCCCCCAACATTCCACCCTCAGCCATGGCCTACCTTGGAATCTCTTCCCCTGGGCCTCTGCCTCAGCATTACCATCCATCGCTCTCCTTACCCTCAGGTGGTGTCAGCAAAAGCACAAAATCTGAGGAAGAGCTAGTAGTCCAGGTGCCCGTGGTGGATGTGCAGAGTGACAACTTCAAGGAGATGTGGCCGTCCCTCCTGCTGGCCATAAAGACCGCTAGCTTCGTAGCTGTGGACACGGTGAGGGCTGGGGGATGGGGAGGGCAGATAGTTATGAAAGGGCTGGCGCTGGGAACCTAACACAGAACTCCCTTTACACACTCCCAGGAACTGAGTGGGCTTGGGGACAGGAAGAGTTTGCTGAACCAGTAAGTATAAGCCCTGATCTTAGTGCCAGCCTTGGCAGGAGGGGCAGACCTCATCCCTGGAGTAGAAGTCACAGTCCTGGGTGGTTTGAGGGCTAACTCCCAGCCACAGCCACCCCCTAAACCCAACCCCAAGGTGCATCGAGGAACGTTACAAGTCCGTGTGTCATGCGGCCAGGACCCGTTCTGTTCTCTCCCTGGGCCTTGCCTGCTTCAAGCAGCAGCTAGACAAGGTAGGTACTGGTCTCCTTCCTATCTCTGGTCTGTGGCTGCGGGGAGGGGGGTAGAGATCCTGGAGAACATCGGGTGTAAGGTGTTTCTATCCCAAATCCCAAGGGAGCAGATCCTTTCTCTCTCAGGGTGAACACTCCTACCTGGCTCAGGTGTTCAATCTGACCCTGCTGTGCATGGAAGAGTATGTGATAGAACCAAAGTCTGTGCAGTTCTTGGTGCAGCATGGCTTCAACTTCAACCGGCAGTATGCTCAGGGTATCCCGTACCACAAGGGCAATGACAAGGTAGGTCTCCAGCCTTGAGACTGCCCCTTCTGTGACTTCATTTCTTCCTAACCGAGGCTGGGTGCAGGGGGGGGAGGATCTGCTTCTTAGGGAGGATGGGAAATCACTAGGGATAGGGCTGGGGAAACCAGCCTGATCCACAGAAGACTAGCATTGGGAAGGCAGGGAGCGAGAGCTTTCCAGATAGGGGCACCGGCGGTAAGTGTCCTGCAAGAGAGGCTCACTACGGGACTGTCCTTCCCAATGATCCCTTTCTTTCCACCCAGGGCGATGAGAGTCAGAGCCAGTCAGTGAGGACCCTGTTCCTGGAACTAATCCGGGCCCGCCGGCCCCTGGTACTACACAATGGTCTTATAGACTTGGTGTTCCTGTACCAGAATTTCTATGCACACCTGCCCGAGAGCTTGGGAACCTTCACTGCTGACCTATGTGAAATGTTCCCAGCCGGCATTTATGACACCAAATATGCTGCTGAGTTTCATGTGCGCTTCGTGGCCTCCTACCTAGAATATGCTTTCCGGAAATGGTGAGCAACTGGTTAAGGCTTAGGGGTGGGGCCTGGTATAAGCCTATTTCATTTACTTGAGGTATTTATTGAGTGCCTGCCATGTGCCAGGCACTGTGTTAAGTGCTGAGGACTCAGCAGTAAGCAGAACTGACAAAAAGCCCTGTTCCCATGGAGTATATAAGCTATGGACCAACACCCTCGTCCGCTGTTTCAGCGAGCGGGAAAATGGGAAGCAGCAGGCAGCGGGCGGCCCGCACCTGACCCTGGAGTTCTGCAGCTATCCATCTAGCATGAGGGCCCATATTGACTACCGCTGCTGCATGCCCCCTGCAACCCACCGTCCTCATTCCACCAGCGTCTGTGACAACTTTTCGGTGAGAGCACCTGCCCATTTCTTGGGGGAGGGCAGGTTCCTGATGCCTGGAACCCCCTCTCTAAGCCTCTTTCCTACCTCTAGGCGTACGGTTGGTGTCCCCTGGGACCACAGTGTCCTCGGTCCCATGATATCGATCTTATCATTGACACTGATGAGGCTGTGGTGGTGGACAAGCGGCGACGGCGGCGACGTAGGGACAAACGGCGGAGGGCTTTGTTGGGCCTGCCTGGGAAACAGACCTCTGAGGAAAATGAGGATTGTCCTCCCGTGAAGCAGGTCTGCGGGGATGGCCTCCAGGCTGAAGAAGTTGAGCAGGAGGTGGCTAAGGATGAGACTAGGAGCCAGCCTGGCTTGGAGCAAGGTCACAAAAATGACTTGGAGCTGGGGCTTAAAGCAGCAGGGCCAGAAACAGCTGATATGGCTGCCTCAGAAGTGCCAGGGAATCAAGCCGGTCCTCACCCAGTGCCTGGGGATGGACTGCATCGGGCTGGTTTTGATGCCTTTATGACAGGCTACGTGATGGCCTATGTGGGTGTGAGCCAAGGACCCCAGCTCTGTAGCTCTGGGCCCTGGCTACCTGAATGCCACAACAAGGTATACCTGAGTGGCAAAGCTGTGCCCCTCACAGTGGCCAAGAGCCAGTTCTCCCGATCCTCCAAAGCCCACAACCAGAAGATGAAGCTGGCTTGGGGCAGCAGCTGACCCAACTTCCGCCTAGCACGCAAGGCCCAGGGAGAGGACTGAGAATGGAACAGAGGTGTCTGGGTCCCTCTAGCCTGTGAATGTCCTACTCCCACCTTCTACAGAATTGGGGGGTGGGGGTGGGGGCAGTCTTGGCCTGGACCTTCTCCTTTACCCTGAAGGCTGAGGAACAAGGGTACACATAAGGAAGCTGACCAGCACCTGTAACATAGACTTTATTTTTAAATCTGAAAGTGTCTGGGAAAAAGTATTACCAAAAAATCAACAGAAACAAGTTATGAAAATATTTGACCAGCTTCATCTTTGGTTATTTCTTATCGCGGCTCTGTAAGGACAGACTGTTCCCACAGCTCCAGCCATAGCAGGAAGGGAAGAAAATCAGTCCATGTATAAACCATTTAACCAACTGAGTGTATCACATGTTGACAAATACATAGAGCAGGCCCTGAGGCCTACAAAACCAGCCCCACTCCCAACCACAAGGTTGAAAGTTTTATGGGGCAGAACATTAAGATTCCTTCATAAATATGAAAATAGATTAATCAACTGGAAAAGATTTTTGAATAGGTTAGCTAAGAGCCATGACCACCACGCTGCCTCACCATCCCCTTGCATAGAAATGTAGTGATGTGGTCTGACCATGCAGTAAGTGCAAACAGCAATTATTCAAGTGTCTTAGACATCCTGGCAAGAAGCTCCCCGGTCTTAAGGTCTGAGAAATAGCCATGCCTTTTATGGCTTCCTGGTGAGCTCCAGGTTCCATCCAGTAGCTTGTATGACCCAGGAAAGGGCGAAAGGTAGACCTGGGGTGGGAGAAGAACCTGGGGTATTAGCTGCCTGCCAGCTCAAACTAGAACTAGGAGTCCTCTGGTCCTGTCTGGGCAAGTGCACTGGGAGCCGGATGGGAGCCAGAGCTCCTTGCTGGATTTCAGAAGCTTCGTATCAGCTGTTGGCCCTAACTAGGAAGGGCTTTCGTTGCTGCCTCCCCTCTCACGCACAGCCATTGGGCACTTGGAGCCCCCAGACTGACCCTGGCCTGGCCTGGCCTGCCTGCTCTACAGGCCGCAGGGAGGAGTCAAGGCTGTGCACCAAGGGGGCCCTGCGGCTTCAAAGGAAGGTCCACCCCCAAGGGAGCTGGGGACTAACCCCTCTCACCCATCCTGTTTGCCCTGGCTTTTCAGGCCTATGCCTGAGACAGAGAAAGGGACTGGAGCCAAGCCTCTTGGCCTTTCTTCTTCTACCTCCATTTCCTCAGAGGCACCTGCAAGGCACGGACTGGCCCCCTGGGGCCTGGGCCCAAAACCATTTTCTTCTTGGAGACTGGAGCAGTCCATGGCTTCATGGGCCGGAGCAGCTGGGAGGGCAGATGCTCGGAATGGCGGGATCTCTCTCACTCTGTACTTGAGACTACTGAGGCGTGGTGGGGGCCCATCAGATAGTGATTCTTCTCGGCCCACAAATGGACAGGCCTCTCGATGCAAGAACTCTGGTGAACCAGGCAAAGAACGCCACCGGCGAGCAGGTGGGACCAGGGGCTCCTGCCAGTCCGCCACAGGCAGAGTTCCGGGCCCTGGTGCATCCAAGTCAAATACCAGGGAGATGACAGACTTGCTGGGCAGGTCAAAGAACTTGATCTTGCCACCCTTGAGGTCCTGGCGAGCACTGAAAGGGTTGATTTTGGGGGTGCAGGCAGCACCACCTCGTTGTGGCCGGTAGTACGGGTCCAAGACATTCACTGTACGTGGGGGCTTACGGGAGAAGATGTCTGACTGGCTTCGAGACAACCAGATAGTGCGTCTTGGGCGTGGGGACTTGGGAGGGATCTTGTCATCCAGTAAGCTCAGTCGCTTCACCCCAGGTCCTTTTTCCAAGAGTCCTAAAAAACAATGAGTCAAATCAGGGTTACTCCCACTAGTCATAACAAACAGAAGTGGCACCTTGTGACACAAACCATTTCACCAATGAGAAAACAAACTCAGAAGGGAGGCTATATGCGCCAAGTCATAATTCTTAGAGTCCAGTACTTTTTCCATCATCCCCTGCCCTTTGCCCTTCTTCTGGACATGGGATCCTACAATCAGCCCTAGAGAGGAAGGCCCCACATCCTAATTTCCTCCCTTGGGGTCAGGTGGAACACTCTGGTCTAATCTCTTACCCTTGGCTGTGGGCTGCAGCTTCCTGTCCGTCTCCAGCTCTTCTTCCTGTAGATGGCTCAGAATTTCCTCCAGGGTCTTCCCAATCTCCGTGAAGGATGGGCGCAGTTTGGGGTCCATCTGTAGTCATCCACACCAGCCATTAGCCCTGCCCTCCTATCTTCTACCCCAAGGATGGCATTTGAGTCTGTTTCTGGCATCTTCTAAGATTCAGATATGCAGCTAAGAGATCTTTTCTAAAGGCCCCAGACCACGAGAGTGATTCCCAGAGCTAAGGTCAGGGAAGATGCTATTGTCTCATACCCATCCATGTCAGCACCCTTTCTGTATGTCTTATCCTCTCGATGGGCACAGAACCATCCAAAAGGGTATGCTTACATTGGTTTGTTCTGTTCTTGCTAACATGTTTCTGGGAGCTATCTGGACAAAGCCCAGCTACCCCCTGTTCATGACAGGTAGGTCCAGCCCCAGAGCTGTATAAAATGAAGGCTAACAAAAGCTCTTCCCATGGGCCTTAAGATCAGCTGGACCCAAAGTCCAACTGAAACCTGACCAGAGCTCTATCAATGTCCAGGGCAAGAGATGATGAGTCTACCCTGCAGGCTGAGGACTGTATAATACAGAGCAATTTTCCTTTTCTTGGTCCAGGGCTCTCGACAGTCTGTCAGGCCCGGAGGAGGGGCTGTGGGCACTGCCATTCATCAGTGAAAAGGAGGCTCCTCCTCCTACAGTCCTACCCAGATGAAAGGGGTTCAGCCAGCCCCTGACCAAAGCTGGGGGGAGGGAAGGGGAGGGAGACACTCACATTACAGCAGTTGAAGGTGAGCTGCAGAAAGTCTGGGGGACAGTCTCCCACCATATGCTGGAAAGCGTCATAGTCTAGCCCGAAGTTCTGTGGATAGGTATGGTAGACTGGTCATTAATCCCTCCACCCATCCTGGCCTGCTTAGGAGAGGCTGAGAATTGCCCCGAAGTAACCATACAGACAGTTCCAGCAACTCCACCCTGGGAACAACAGCTCCATAGCTTCAAAACCAGCCCCATCCCACTGGCACTGTGCCCTATGCCTGCAGCTCACCTCTGTGCGGGGAAGATAGTCCGGATCAGCCTGGATGCGGGCGATGATCTCACAGAGGATGATACCGTAAGAGAACACGTCCGCCTGGTGGGTAATGAGACCTCAGTTTCCTTCTCAGTGGAGTGAGAGGTGGGGTTTCTGCCCCTCGGGTCCACTAGCCCAGGCCTGAGCCCTACTGTGTGCATTTCATTCAGTTCACTTACTGGGCAGCTGCCGAGTACCAGCTCTGCTCTTAGAAGGATATAGATCCTCACCCAGAACATATAAGGTGATCCTGGATACCTTCTGCTAAGAATGGATTCTAGGGGCGCCTGGGTGGCTCAGATGGTTGGGCGTCTGCCTTCGGCTCAGGTCATGATCCCAGGGTCCTGGGATCGAGTCCCGCATCGGGCTCCCTGCTAGGCGGGGAGCCTGCTTCTCCCTCTGCCTCTCTCTCTCTGTCGCTAATGAATAAATAAATAAAATCTTTAAAAAAAAAAAAAAAAGAATGGATTCTAAGGAGAACCATGCCCAGGGTCCCCAGACTCACCTTTTCATTATAGGGCTCATCTCGGAGAACCTCAGGTGCCATCCAGAAGGGTGAGCCCACCACGGCCAGCTTCTCACTCCCCATGCTGTGGGGTGGGGGTGGAGGAAAGATTATATGGATAATGAGCTTGCCACTGGCTGGTGCAATGGGATATCTGACCACTGGGAATTCCTCTCCCTGAAGGACAGGCACTAAGACTGACCAAATTTAGGGAGCTGGGATTGAGCTGTGACCAAGTTCTGGCCTCTAGGGAGGAAGCTGGAGTTTTCCCTTTGCTTCAGTCCCTTCTGTGACCCCAGTACCTATTAGGGCTACCCACCTGACGTCAGGAATCTTCTCAGCCAGGCCAAAGTCAGCTACCACTGCAGAGTAACCATTCTCATCCCTCTTTATCAGGCAGTTCTAGGGTTCCCAAAGAAGAAGGAAATGTGGCTCAGAAGGGGGACCAGCCAGCCATAAGGTTACCACCACCCCTCCTTGCCACAGGACACCTTGGCCTCTCCTCCTTGGTGAAACCACACTCTTAGGCTGACCCCAGTGGTCAGACTTGGGGGCTCTGTCAGCCATGGGAGATGGCTTAGGCCTGGATTTTGGGTGGCTGCCCTAAGATTCATATGCTTCAAACAAATATTTATCTTTGTTTTCTATATACTAAGCATGGTTCTAAGTGCCAGAAATACCTCAATGAACAGACATCTTTGTCCTCTTGGAGCTTACAATCTAGTGGAAGAAGACAGACTATCAGGCCCCTGGCCTCCCATCCTCTTTTCCTCAGAATGCAGAGACCCAAAGGCGAGCCTGAGTAATATAAGTAATGTAATGTAAGTAATGTAAGCCTAAGACAAGCGCTCAGGCCTGCACTACCTTTCACTGCCCACAAGATCACAACCAGCTTCCTCTCAGTTCATGATCTGCCTCTAACCAACTGACTTACCCCCTCCCCCTGCTGTTCCTATGCACACAGCTCTATCCAAACTTGTCACAGACAAGCTGGACTCCTGAAGCCTGAACAGCCCCTTCAAGCTTTTCTTGTGCTTACACTGTTCCCTTCCATTTGGAATGTTCTCCCAACTCTCCTTTTCACCTCAAAAGATTTTATGTGTTTTAAGGTAAGTGCCCTTTCCACGCTGTCCTCTCCAGCTCTCACCAGCCTCTCTCTCAACTCCTTTAACTCCTCCTCTCCGCTACTTCCTCTTATAGTCTAGCAGAGAGCAGGTTCTGGTTCAGGCCTTCCCTCTTCATAACACTCAACTCGTGAGAGAGGCTCAGGATGTGCTCACCAAACAAGAGAAAGGATGAACCCAAATGACTTGTAAATAAACACAAAGCAGCAACCAGGCTTGGCATGCAGTTGCCGAGGCAAGCCAAGTCACCTCCTGCTTCCTCCACCTCAGGTACAATCACTCCCTTCCTTTGGCCTCGACGTGATCATACTCTTCTCTGCCTGAGCTGGAAGGAGCCCGTGATTTCGCCTTCTCCTGCTCCGGGTCCCAGGTAGACACGCCCCATCCCTGGCTTCCGAGCAGGACCATCCTTGTGCTTGTCCTGGCTTTGGCCCTCCCATCAAGTCGTGCTGGCTCAGCAACCCCTGACTATGGCTGTGAGAGGACAGGCTCTAGGCCAGCTTGCCTGTTAAAAAGCCAAAGCCCAGGCTATAGGGCACAGGCTTGTGAGGCAGTGGCAGCCCAGATCTGTCACGGATTTTTCTCCCCTCCTCCCTTTTCACCAACAACTCAGGCTCCTGTCTCCAAGGCTCAGGCTAAAGTACTACTTACTATTTGCTCAGAAACAGCCCTCAGAAATTCAGCCTGGGAGCAGCAGATAAGGAAAAGAATATGGCCACAGTACACTGTCCTTGTCAAAGCTGTGCGGTTTCTGCCCCAGCTTCATGTTCATGGCCATCTACTGTCTGCTCACTGCAAACCACCCACGTAGGGGTAAGTGACTTCGCAGTAGCTGCTCTGAACGGCTGAGAAATGGCTAAGGCAGGGATGATCGGGGCCCCACAGTATGGGACAAGGCTACACAGTTTGCTTCTGGTCTGGAGGTGACCACTGCCCCTCTTACAGCTTCTCACAGTCAACAGCTGGGCATTGGAGCCAAAGACAAAGATGGGATACTGCAAACCAAAAGAGCCAAACTTTAGGAGTCTGTATTTGAGGTGATAAGAAAAATGTGGAGGAACCCTGATGGATTAACCTCTGTGGGGTTTTCCAGAAACTCCCAGCCTGCCCTTAAGAGCCTGCCCTTACTGGGGTCTAGGCTAGTGAGGTTTGGCTGGCGACACTTGCTGTTTTTACTTCCTTATCTCCCACTCATTGCTCATGGGTTTCTGCTGTGAGTTCCCACAGAGGATACCAATGACTTCTATGGCATTAAGTTCAATAGACAAATTTAGTTCTTACATACTTGATCTTTCTGCTGTTGACATTGCTGATTACTTCTTTCAACACTTTCATATGTGATTCAGGAATCATATTAATTAATACTGGGCGTGCAGGGGCGCCTGGGTGGCTCAGTTGGTGCAGCGTCTGCCTTAGGCTCAGGTCGGTCCTGGGATGGAGCCCCGCATGAGCAGGGAGCCCGCTTCTCCCTCTCCCTTTGCCCCTCCCCCGGCTCTCTCTCTCTCTCAAATAAATAAATAAAATCTTTAAAACAAAAAATACAGGGTGTGCAGAGAATAATCAGCTGTGGTCCTGGAGTGAACAGACCAGCTATTAGAGGCTAGTTAGAGGCCATTCCTGTTCCCTTTTGATCCTTCTCTCCTGGCTTCTGTGACACCGCAGTTCTGGATTTCCTTCTCCACCGCTGGCTACTTTGCAGGCCCCAGTGCAGGCACTTCTTCCCATCCGATGTTCTCAGGGTTCTATCCTGGGCCTATATCTCTCGGGCTCCATTTGTGCTGATGACTCCCAACTGTATATCATCAGAGCTGACCTTTATCCTCAAGCTTCAGATCTGCATATCCACTCTATTTCTGGACATCTCCTGGATTACTCATATTGAACTCCATACATGGAAACCTGAAGTCACCTTTTCCCCTCAAAAGCTAAAACTCTAGCTGTATTTTTACGTCCACTGATACTGCCATTTTCCACCCAGTTTGCTAAGAGAGCAAGCTGGGATTCAGCCTAGATTTTTTACTCTTAACTCCAACTAATTTAGCTTCTAAATATTTTTCAAATCGGGGGCGTCTGTGTGGCTCAGTCGGTTAAGCGTCTGCCTTCAGCTCGGGTCATGATCCTAGGGTCCTGGGATCGAGCCCCACATTAGGCTCCCTGCTAGACAGAGAGCCTGCTTCTCCCTCTCCCTCTGCTGCTCCCCCTGCTTGTACTCTCTCTGCGTCTGTCTCTCTGTCAAATAAATAAATAAAATCTTTAAAAAAATTTTTTTAAATAATAATAAAAAATATTTTTCAAATCGGTGTCTCCCTCTTCACCTCCACTACCCTTGCATCAGGTCCTCCTCATTCCTCCCCTGAAAACTACAGTGCTCTTCTAACTGGTCTCTCTGGCTTGGTCCAGGCTTGATCTCCATAATCCACCTTCCTCATTCCTGCCAGCATGACTTTAGCAAAATGTAAATCTGTGTTACTCCCCTATTTAAAAGCCATCAATGACATATTGTATGATTCCATTTATATGAAATGTCCAGAATAAGCAAATCCATAGAAAGTGAAAATGGATTAGTGGTTGCCCAGGGCTGAAGGGGAAAGGGAATAGAGTGTGGGGCTTTCATCTTGGAATGATAAAAAGTCCTGAAATTAGACAGTGGTGATGGCTAAATATACTAAAAGCCACTGAAATATATACTTTGAAAGGGCAAATTTGGTTTTATGTGAAGTATATCTCAAAAAAGCTGAGTGGTTTTCTTCATTTCCTATCTAGAAGATTAAATCCAACTTAGACAATATATGATCAGAGTCCTCTCTTTTCAACTCTTACTCCCTACCACTCCTCCCTCCCAGTCTGCACATCATACAGTTCATGCCACTATGCCTTCGTTTATGCAATTCCCTGTGTCTGCTCTGGTCTAGAATATGACCCCCAGCATGTGCACTAATAATAATTAAACTAAATAAGTAGAATTCAAGGCACCTGGGTGGCTCAGTCGTTAAGCATCTGCCTTCGGCTCAGGTCATGATCCCAGGGTCCTAGAATCGAGTCCTGAGTCGGGCTCCCTACTCTGCCGGAAGCCTGCTTCTCCCTCTCCCACTCCCCCTGTTTGTGTTCCTGTTCTCGCTATCTCTCTCTCTCTGTCAAATAAATAAACAAAATCTTTAAAAAATAAAAAATAAAAAAAATAAGTAGAATTCAATTTTCAAGATTCAGCTCAGCCACCATCTCCTCCAAGAAGCCTGCTCTGTACCCTCAGGCTGGGTTAAATACCCTCTATTCAAAGCATCCTATGCACTGTCCTCTCTGTAGCCTTTGCATCTACCATGTTATGATGGAAGTCTGTATAGTGCCTTCCTATGGCTAGAGACTATAAGCTTTAGGAAAGCAGTGATGTTTTAAGAGGGAGATGGCCCAGAGAATACTTCCTAGCCCCTTGGGTAAGGGAAAGATTGACCACTTCTGTCTATATGGTACCCTAAGAATTACAAAACATTTTTCACAAACACAGTCAAAACAACATTGTCAGGTGGGCAGATCTGAGATTTTTACATTTAAGATGAGAAAAACAAAGCTTACAACCGTAAGTGGTAAAGACCCAGGACTCCTAATTCTAAAGCGTTCTCACACGATTCTACCCTCCCCAGAAAGAGGCTGAAAAGCTTTCCCCTTTTATAATGAAGCAATGTAGTCTTCAGCAAGGCCATGGCAGAAGCAATGCAGTCTTAAGAGAGCAGCAGGGGCCAGGGCCCATGGAGAAGGCAGCACTGTGTGCAATACCGTAAGACCCCTTCACTTGGGCCTCCAGCCACTATCTCAAATGCTGGCCAATCCAAAAGCATCTAGTACAATGCTTACATTTCTCACCCAACTTGGACATGGCCCCAGTATAGACTACGTGGCTACAGAGTACAAAATATGAAGCTCGGGGCGCCTGGGTGGCTCAGTCGTTAAGTGTCTGCCTTCGGCTTGTGTCATGATCCCAGGGTCCTGGGATCAAGCCCCGCGTCAGGCTCCCTACTCAGCGGGAAGCCTGCTTCTCCCTCTCCCACTCCCCCGCTTGTGTTCCTGCTCTTGCTGTCTCTCTCTCTGTGAAATAAATAAATAAAATATTTTTAAAAAAAAAAAGGAAGCTCAGACCACTGTGGGGTTCTGAAGAAGCCAGACCAATTTTCAGGCTGTGTGGAATACAAGGTCCCATTACGTAGAGGACGAAGAATGCTTTATTCAAAAGTGTCTTTGGGGCACCTGGGTGGCTCAGTTGGTTATGTGTCCAATTTGATTTCG